TGGAATTACAGGTGTGAACCATCACACTCCTTATAACCTGGATGCTTGATATGCTTAGTGAGCTGTTGAAATAACCAAACCGGAGACTAAAACTGGCCTTCTTGGTCCATTAGATAAAAGCTTATTAAGTCATTTTGACTCTTTTGTTATTCCATTTCAAACCAAGCATCCAAAGTGATGTTAGGGAAAAACAGAATGGGGTGTAGAGTTAGGTTATCTTAGGTACTGAGCCACCAAAGGCAATGGTGTTGCTTAATTTACAAATAATTCTTATATAGAGTTGTGAAAGCAATACAACTAAAACAGATTACATCTATTTTTAAAATTAATTAGGGTTTCAAACTAACTCACCACCCTTAAAAAAAAAAAAAAAGCAAGTGGATCTCTGTGAGATTGAGGCTAGCTTGGTCTACATAGGGAGTTCCTGGCCAGATTGGCTACAGGGAGACCCCGTTTAAAAATAAATAAATCAGGACTTTAAAACCTCCCAGTTAGATCAAGGGGAAAAAGGAACAAAAGCTGCTAAGAAAAAGATTTGTCCATTTCTCCTACTTTTTTGCTGCTTTCACTATCATAGTGTCTCGTTACCCAGTTCAGGCTTGTCTGCAACTCATGGTCGTCATGCCTCAGCCTCCCAAGTGCTGCAATCACAGGGATGAACTGCCAGTTCTGTCTGGGAATTTACCCTCTTTTATTACAGCTTGTTTTTTAAAATTATTATTTGACTTCTGGCTAATAATGAAGGTGCCTTAAAAATCTGCTTCTCCAATTCCCTGTTTTATGAGACATATTCCAGATAATCCATGTGGTTTAGGATTCCTTCACTGTTTTTGTATAGTTGCTAACTTCTCATTCTCGAAGAAGCAGAGGACTGTAGAAACCAGAACATTCCATCATGGGTAAGTCAGTCTCAGTGATCTGTGGGCACTGGGCATCTCACCAGTCACCTCAGAGTTGTATCTCACCAGTCCTCAGCTACAGGACAAGGTGTTCAATGTGTCCATTATGCTGAAGAATATAATTAAAATAACATGAAGACCACTGATATCTGACACTGATATCAGGGTTAGGAATTTGAGCCTAATACTATTATTCAGCTAAATAGGTGTAGTTTTAAAGCGACACCTATTGACTTATTGCTATGCCCATAGATTAATGCATCTCTCAACTCTCAGCAGAGAAGATTCCTTATGCAGCATACGGTGATTAACATAGATACACACATTTGACCAATGTGCAAAGAATAAGAGGCTGCAGAGTGCTCACCAATGAATAGGACACCTATATCAAACTTCTGCCTTCCAAGGCACAGGACTCATTGTGGAAGAGGGAGTGGAAGGGTTCTAAGACTCAGAGGTGGTGGATGACCACAAGGAAACAGTTTTCAGATAGCTGGTCAGTTACTCGTATGAACTCAGAGCAATGGTGAAGGATGTACAAGTCCCACGTAGGCTTAAGCCAGACAAAATCCAGCATAGATATGGAGAAGTGGGTAAGAAATCCCATTGCTACCCGAGGAACTATTGGCAACCAATGGATGCTGGGAGGGGGAATGTCAGTCTTGTTTAAGGGTGAGACCAGTTAACCAGACTGTAGTTGGATGGACCTATATTGACAGGCATTTAGGGATATAAGTTTGACTCTATAGGACTTTATGTGTGTGTGTGTGTGTGTGTGTGTGTGTGTGTGTGTGTGTGTGTGTGTGTGTGTGTGTGTGTGTGTGTGTGTGTGTGTGTGTGTGTGTGTGTGCACGCATTAAATAGAATATATAAAATTGAGCAGAGGGTGGGTAGTAAGGGGGATGCAGATATAATAAAATACATGGAATTTTTAAAATTCAATAAAAATAATAAAATACGAACATTAAACACAGAAAAAATGACCCTCCTAGTACCCAAAGGATTAGCTGTTGGTATGAAAAGCATCCATGTATGGTTTTCATAAAACAGCAAATTTGGACTTGCTTTTCACTCCTTGAAAATAGTTTGTTTCTTTGTTTGAACAATTTACAGGCAAAATAAAGACTTCTGAGTCTTTAACTGATTACTGATGTGAGATTTATGGGGAAGTCTGATCAGCCAGTAGGGTTGTCTACTGCTGCCTTGACTTGCTTCTCTCAGTAATAAATACCCTCTAAATTATCTAGCCTCTAAGTTATTTGCCTGTCTGTAGGTTTGCAGCACTGTAGGTGCACATGAAACAAAATGCTTAGAAAATGATTCTCAAGTTATTAAAATTACTGCTTCAGTTTCCTGTTAGTTAGCATGGCATACTCCTCACTGAGGTTTTAGCCTGATGAACTGAACTGTGAACCAGATAAACATTTCCTGTACTCTTTCACACACACTTCTGAACTCTTTTCATACAGTCTTTTGTCTTCTTAACTCTGCCTTAGATCCCTGTTGCAACAGATGACAGTCTCAAGAGTTATCTCAGACCATCCTGATTCTGAGAATTGGTCTGTGACATTCAGAATACTCTGTCCTTACTTGGAGATGTCACAAGGCCTCCTGGCTCAGGGGAGTTTGAGGCCTTGCAAATGAGAATCTTTTTAAAAATTGTTATTGTTGTTGTCATTATTATTATTACTACTATTGAGATAGGGTCTCATGGTGCAAGCCCAGCTGGCCTTGACTTTGCTATGTAGACCAGGCTGGCCTTGAACTTAAGAGATTTGTCTGCCATTGCTTCCTGAGTGGTGGGATTAAAGGTGTGCATCACCAAGGATGGCCAAATAAACTTTTGATCTTTGTATAACTCATCCTTTTCCCAAACATAAGTTTAGCCTATTTCATTTTCACATAACAGATACCCACACAGGGCTTCAGTTCTGAAGAACAGGCATTTAAAAACATGCTTAGCCTGTATTTGTTTTCTTTACTCCTCCCTGGTCTTGAAAAAATAGAGTATGCATGTGAGTAGAGGGGAGAGTGTGTAGGGGTATATAGGAATGCAGGAGGGAGTGAGTCCACTCCTGAACGACAACGTATGTGTGACTGCATGAATGTTAGTGGAGTGTGTGAGAGCGCAGGAGTGTGAGGGGGAGTTTGCACTTTTAGTAGGAGCATATTTGCATAAAGAAATTCAAATGATGATTGAGAAACAAAGCTGACCACCCCAAGGAATTCAAAGGAACTTTAACATTTGTGACATACTTTGAGACAGTGCTTCGTATTTATGAAAACAGTTAATCCTCAGAATAACTCATCTTACAGATAAGGAAAGGTGAGACTTGGTGCAAATAGTAAACTTACCACAGCTTATTTCTCTTATTAGAGAAACACCATGGACTGAGCGCAGGGTAGCTGCTTCTAGAACTCATCCTCTTATGTGTGAGGTCACATCTTACACATAAGTGTGTTACAGCTCTCCAAGGGTCACAGACATGAACTTTTCCCTCTTGGTCTGAGGGACAATTCTAGAGGGGAGTCAAATCCTTGGTTTCAAGGACGCTCTTCCCTTCCCTGCTCTGTGACTGGAATGTTATTTGTCTCTGTGCTTCAGATTTTCTCAAGCACAAAATAAAGGAACAGAAAAGAGGGGTGAAAAGCTGCAAGGCTATTATGTGTGTCCACTTTTCTCTGCTGACGGCCTCAACGTACTGACTTGATTCTGTCATCTGTGCTGTGTCAGAATAAGACTGTCAGCTTCCACACAGCGGTCTTTTAAACATTTAAAAGGAGACACAGAACTCTGCATCAGGCTAAATATGACTGGATTGTTTTTTAGCTGAGTGTCCCAGTCCATGGCTTTCACAATGTTTGCCCGTCTGCTCATATTTAAACAGCTCTTATGCTAACATGTGGCATTTTTATCTTTCTTTCCTGAGTATGCAATGACAAATAGCTTTTCATTTAGTTCTTAAAAGACTGGTATTTATTTTGTAAGTGTGATACAGGAAGTACCATTGCAAACTAAAGCATTGACTGTAAAAGTAGAATTTTATTTTGAGAAGTTGGTTTTTATATGCTTCTCCTCCCTCAATACATCTCTCAATACCACATGACCAAGTTGTAAAATGGGCCTGTTGAAGGGTGGTTACACTGGTCATTAGTTGAATGAATAAGTGCATGCTTCCCTGTTGTCACACGAGGACTGAGTCTTTTTTGATGCAAGAAGATACTTTGACAACTTGGGGACTTCTGTGTTTCTTCCTAACCCTGAGATTATATGATCTGAAGATGCTTCTGCATCTGTGTTCAAAGAACATGTGTACCAAAGTCCTCCTCACTCCAGTATGTAAGTTTATTGTGTATTTAAGGGGGATTCTCATGGCCATATCATATGCACATTTATGGATGTACTCTTCTAAGGACTTGTATCTGTAGATGATGATCAATCTGATTTCAAGGTGGTATGTCTGTTCTGGCTGTTTATTCTTCCCTCTTGACATCTAATCTCCTATTTATCTTGATTGAGAATCCTTTGGTCATTCCCATTTGGTAAAAACAAATGTTTTTGTAATGCAATCCCAGCCAGAAACCTTCTAAAGCATAGAGACTAGAATTCTTGAAGAGCGGTCCTTTGAAGCTCACAGCACAAATGAATGAGATGCTTCTAGTGCTGTTGGTAGCATGGCCAGGACAGGACAGAAGAGCCTTGTCTCTGGGCCTGTGGTGAACACTGGTGTCCATCCACACTAGGTCCTCCCTATGTATGGTGACAGAGTAAGGGTGGAGGTGGTGTGAGGAAGGGACAAAGCAGGACAGAAAGGCAAACAGCTAACTTCTCATGGGCTCAGACCCATCCAATACAGAAAACCGAACAACAGTAAACACTGTTGCATGTCTCTCCATTTTTTTTTTAATATATGTTTTGGTCACTATAGTAAATACTTCTCTGTAAAGAATTTAGACTTTAATTTTGTAATAAATATAAGTAACTGTGAATGCTCAGTAACTGAATTTTAAGCTACAAGGTCAAATCTTCAAATGTCAGACCAGTCACATGACATACCCCATGGATAAGCCAGATACACAGAGATGCACAGGAAGCAATGGTACTTTTGCATCATTTTGTGTTTAATGTAACTGAAGGTTACATGAATGCCTTTAAAAAGCAGGCATTGAAAACAAACAAGCACTGGGCGTGGTGGTGCACGCCTTTAATCCCAGCATTCGGGAGGCAGAGGCAGGTGGATCTCTGTGAGTTCAAGGCCAGCCTGGTCTACAGAGTGAGTTCTAGGACAGCTGGGGCTACAGGGAGACCCTGTCTCAAAAAAAAAAAGGCCCTAAACAAAACAAAAAACAAATGACCTGACCCCCCCCCCTTTAAACATGTATCACCTATCTGGAGAAGTACATCAATGCTAAATGCTTATTGCTGGAAATCTGGTGAAAGATACAGTGTCTCTTCAGTATTAAAAACTGGTATCTAAATAAATTTGTTAGTTAGCTAAGCTGAAGCTTTTAAAGTTGAAAATATTTTTAAGTTCCAAAAAAATAGAGAATTAAGTACACATTTAAATTAGAAATAGGAGTTTACTTGTTACATTTTCTTTTTCCAGCCTAAGCGGCTGAGGGCTCTTCCTTTTCTTCCTTCCTTATGGTAAACAATGTCAGACTTCAAAGAACCAAAGCCTAAAACAATTATGGCACTAACGTGAGGGAGGACTAACGTGAGGGCATAGCAGCGCACACTGTTAATCCCAGCACTCAGCAGGCAGATGCAGGCAGAGATCTCAGTGAGATCAAGGTCAGCCTGGTCTATATAAGTAAGTTCCAGGCCATCTGGGGCTGCAGGGAGACCCTGTCTCAAGCAAATAAACAAAAACAAAATTCACCCCCACAAAAAATAAAGAGGACTAATGATTTTAACTGCCAGTTTCCAAACCATTTCTCTTAGATTCACTTCCTTAGACAGCAGTCCCATCTGCTGGTATTTCCCACATAGCTCAGACCGCTTTTGATACCATCTTAATTCCTCTTCAGCATGACTTCTTCCCATTCTCCTTTACAGCTTCTTTGCCTTAAACTAAGGAAAAACTTGTGTGACTTAGTGACCCTGTGTTATTTTTTGAAAGTTGGACAAAAGTGAACAAAACTGACACTATGACTCAAAAAGGGCTGCTCTCGGTGCCTCTGGCTGGCCTGGCTGCCCAGGAGGCCCTTGGCTCCTCCTGGAATCTTGCTAAGGAACAGAGTCTGGTTTATACTAGTTCATCAAGGTGGGTGGAAAGCTCGAGACAGATCACTGACTCTGTTTAGAAAGTCACATCTTTGATGACCACAGTGAAGTATCTCTGAGCAAAAGTCTCACACAACCCTTGGAAAACTTGGAAGTTCATCACTAATAGTTGCCTTCCTATTAAAAATCATTTTAAACTCTCCCGTGATCACTTCTCAACTTCCCTTTCTTACTGTCATCAGCTCTCTCTAATCTAAATTTCTTAACATTCACTTAGAATCAGAGAAAGAAAAAACAAAGTAAAACAAATTGAACCCAGGGAAATAAAAACAAGCACAAAGTAAGCAATTTTGCTATTGACAGTCCCTTGGGTAGCTGGGAACACTTCCTGTCCTCTCTGTTGCTCCAACAGCACAGAACACACACCTGTGCCTCAACTGAGAAGCAATGTGCAGATGAAGGATGAAAATGGAACCAAAACAGGGCATCAGTGTAAACAAACTTCTGAAAGTCTGTGTTATACAACGTCCTTTCTCACATATTCTTTTAATGTTCACGCTGCGTGAATCACAAACGTGTAAGCTCGGACAATGAAGCCCATTATTTCTAGAGGTTAAAACAGATCCTGTAGTGAGTATAAACGGTGGTTAACTTGCAAAAGTCTTCAGGATGCCTAAAAAATGTCACATTCTTCTTATTCATTTTCTAGATTTTAGGGACCATGGGAACAGAAAAGAATACAAACAAGGCTTGCTTTTTGAGGTCTCCTGGGTCGGGTAGTAGAAAAATAGGTGTTTTCCTCTGGGTTTTTTTTCGTAGTGGAGAAATATGAAGTTGAAATTTCTGAGTCTATTTTTGCTGTCCCTCAGTCTTTAAGGGAGTGGTAGGCTTTGGCAGTTCGGCTGTTGACAAAGTCTGTCTTCTTAAATTGAGCCTTCAGAAGAAGCAGACAAAAATGTGAAAGTCAACTCAATTCTCACATAGGAAAATACATCTGTTTAGTGATTTCTCACTAGGCCCAGGTCAAGTGGCCTCTTATCTGGTTCAGCACCCTTGAGAGTGCTCTTACCTTCTTGTAGGCATTATGGAGCTCTGTGTGTGTCCACAGAGAGTACAGGAGGACGGAAGCAGCTTTGGTGGCCTTGTTGGGGGTATAGCTGAAATGAGAGACAACACCAGGTCAGTGAGCAGGCATACCTGTGGCTCCCTTCTCAGTCAGTGCCTACTCAGTACAGCTCTAACAGCTGCCACAATCACATGACGGGATAAGTGCTGAAAGCCACGTTCACATTTTTTAAAAAGCCTCTTTTATAAATGACTAGGGTGATGCTAATAACTAAGTGATTTGTAGAGAAAAATCCCTACTATTTTAAAAGGAATATACACTTAGACATGTTTTAAGTTCTTAAATTTACTTATGGAATATAATTTACATTTGTTATTTATGCTAAACATTTAGAGATTCCAGTGCAGAAAAACATAACCAAAAACATACATGCCTGAGACTCAAGGGCCCTAGAAATGTAGGGACAAAGTAGCTTTTCGAGTTGATAAAAGAAATTCTTGTGGCAGCACTTGTTAAATAGTTTTGAAATCACTTTGTCTCAGTACGAAGCGGATGGAAAACTTACTCTGTTACAAACCCAAGTCACCACTGCATTTGGTGCCAGCCCTGGTCTTTGATGCTCCATTTCTAAACGTGCTCTATACTTCCCATTCTGGAGAGATCAGTGCCTTCTTAGATTTCTTTCTATGACCTGACTAGCATGTGGCTGCATCTTCTTTTTCAAACAAAGGTGGTGGGTTTATTTTTCCTATAGCATAAAATTCTGTAGGGACTGGAAAGATGGCTCAGTGGTTAAGAACCACTGCTATTGCAGAGAACTCAGGTTCAGCTCCCAGCACCTACATGGTGGCTAACAACTGTCCATATAACTCCAGTTCCAGGGAATCTGGTGATCTCTTCTGGCCTCCATGGGCATTGCATGCACATGGTACACTTACATGCAGGCAAAACGCTTATACACATAAAATAAAAATCAACAAAAATATTTTTAAGTCTGTAAACATGCAATCAAGGATAGACAAAGCAAAGCTGTAAGAGGGAACATGCTGAGCTCATTCATCAGCTTTTCTCTCCCATACTGGCAACCTCACAGGGAAGGAAGAAGAATCAGATCAGCATTTCTCTCTCTCTCTCTCTCTCTCTCTCTCTCTCTCTCTCTCTCTCCTCTCTCTCACTCTTTTTACTATTCTAGAGCCTTTCCGAGATGCTTTGTATAAATAAATTCATGAAAGTTGTAGGTCTCTAATATTCAAAGTTCTAAAAAGCTCTGAAATGGCCAGGATTTTTATATTCATAAAGTTGCTTGAAAGCTGATTGTAGGGTACTTACTTGGAACTTAATATTTTGAAGATAAAGTGTGGTGGATTCCCATTTTGCCTATAGCCTGCTGTTCTTGAATCATGACTTTGAGAAGCTAAAACACTGGAGTATTCAACTAAGAGAAACTATGGAGCCTGACTCTCTGGATCTTTTAGAAGAGAATGAATGGATGGCTCTGTAGCTGGGCCAATTCAGTTCTTCCTCTGCCTGATCTCCAAGGACTAGAGCAAATGCAGCCCAGCTTTGTGATGCTGTTTGTAGACATGTTGCCCATGGGACTCAGTGATATGCACACGCAGCAAGAACATTTTATACAGGAGCGTGCCAGGGAAAGGGATACAGCAAAGGGACTTACGTATCGCCTGCGCTGATGGTCATAATTTTCTGTAGGCCGCCAGTGTTCAGAAGGTCTCGTGCATTCTGGTAACTATTTTGCATTATATTGTTCAATGTATAGCAAGCAGAGGCTGCAGTTTCAATGAGAAGGTCAGTACTTGGGACTGTGTCAGGAATTATAGAAACCAAATCTGGTAGAGTTTCTTTGGCTACAAAATGAAATAAAAAAATGCTTGATTAGAAAGCGTTTTCTTCTAGGGGAGTATGTGTGAGAGTGTGTGCTTGCCTCTGTCTCTTGAGTTCTGGGCTCAAAGATGGGTGCCACCATGTCCAGGCATGAAAGACTTTCCTTAAATTCAAGATTCCAATGCATTTTGGATAAAGGACATTAAAAAATGCATTTGATTAACAAACATATGGAAAGATACAGGGTCTCTAGTAATCAAATTTGAAGATCTTTTCAAAGAGAATGTTTTGATCAGTATACTGAAAATCTTTTTTTTTAACAAAACAAGGTAACATAAATGTCCAGAATTTAAAATTATTATAGTTCTCAATTCAGCAATTCTATTTCTGGCAATATACTCTAAAGACATCTCTTTAAACATGGAAAAAGATTGCTACAAAGATTTTTCTGACAGAATAATATAGAACTAAAAAATCATAAGCCTAAATATCATATAGAAAGTTTTAACTAAAATCTTCTATGGGCCAGTGCTGTAGCCCACTTGTAGAATGTTTGCCTAGGATGCAACTCTGAGTTACATTCCCAGCTTTGCCAAAAAGCTCGATGTTTTATGTTGATATTATATGTAATGTAGTCCATGTATATATTCATATGATGACTGTATAAAATAAAATTCATTATGACGGCTACAATAAATTGCTAATAGAGTTATCTTTCTACAGTAATATTAATGGTGACCTAAAAAACATTTAAAAATACTGGAGGAGGAGGGCAGTGATATGGAGGTGGAAAAGCCAAGACTGGGGATGGGAAAGTTTAAGTGTCACGTAGGGAGTTGGGGAAGAGAGAGTGGGATGTGCATCTAAAACTAAAGATGTGTGAAAAAGCATAAAGAAACCTGATACTTGGAAAGCTAATTAAAATTTAAATACAGGTTGAACAGAGGTACACTACATGGATGGATAAAGCTATTCTAAGAAGGCACATGTTATTAAATGAAAACCCAGTGCCAGGTAGCAATAATTTCCTCTGAGTTGTTGGTCAGGGAGCCCCCTGAGGCTCCCAAAACAACCTAGGCTATTGCCACTGCTGTTGGTTGCCCACTAGAACTAGCTGGTAAGATCCTATTACTGAAGATGTCAGGCGCTCTAGTCCCAAGACTGAAATCAAGCTGGGTCTGACCCTCAGAGTGCTGGAAGGTGCCATACAGGCTGCATAGGAGAGCTTCCATCAACAGTTAACTGAGCTGTGGGTCTTCTGTGCTGCACTACCAATCTGCCAGACAAAATGTGCCCACTGATGCATTACAAATGTGTTCTGGGGGCAACCAACTGATTTCTGATTGGATTAGAGGCCTGCTCCAAAGGAGGGATTCATATCTGTTACTGTAAATCTGATCAAATGTCCATAGTTGGGGAGGTCATAGGTCCTACTGGGGAAGCGCCTTCAAATTGCTTTCTAAATAAGTATGTTTAGGCCCACAGATTAATGCTGTCAGCTTTGGTCAGAGAAGCTTCTTTTTGCAGTGAGCAGACTCATAACTGGTCAAAGTGCTAAATTCTTAGCCTGAAATGGGATACCTATATTGCCACTTCCAGGGTTCAGGAAGCATTACCGAAGAGGTTGTTTGGTGGGAATTTGTGCGTTAATACATATTAACTGCAGTCCACATATCTCAATAGTTGTTAGTTGTTCTCAGAATATTAACCACAGAATGAAAGACCTTGAAAACATGAGTTTTCCTTTCACGACTTAGGTGGATCACATGGAGATGATTCTGATAACGGGGGCCCTGGCCACCCACTAAGAAGGCCACTGTGCTATCTTGTCTTCATCATCACACCAGGAGGCCTCTTCTGCAGATCAAGGTCAAGGAAAACACACAGGCTCATGGCTGAGGAAGAGATAAATAATATTCTCTATCTCTCATTTTCATTCTTTAATATTTGGATATTTGAAAACTTACTATAACAATGACTAAGTGTGAACTGTAATTTTAGAAACATCTGAAACTTCCCAGCACCTGAACACTCATTATTGCATTTTATTTGTGGAGAAACACTATAAAGTAGCAATTATTTATTTCCCTTGGTTTAGAGCTCTTAGGTGACCAGCCAAAGCAAACTGGGTGTAGCAAAGCCACACATAGGAAGCAGACCCTTGTCTTCTCTGTGACACCTGTTGTTACCTGACCATGCGATGCTGTCATTCTTCAAGTATTTTAGAAAGTGTGTTTCAAGTGTATTTCTATAATCAAAGTACATTCCAGATCATCACATGAAAACATATGGCCGAGAAATTGCATGAAAACCACAAAGTATGTGTTGAAATGGATTTTTGTTCCTGGCTATTAAAATTCAGAATCAAGATGGGTCCTGTTGTCTAAGTCACACGTTGGATGTAAGCAAACGTGGGCTTTAAAGCTGCAGTTCTCTTGCTGAGGGTCTTCACTCTGTTGTCCTTAAGTAAGTTTTACAGTTTCTTACATAAGCTTCAGACTGATAACAAGACCGTATCAGCTGTCAGGGACCACCCACTGGAGATAGACATTTCTAGCGAGGGTATCACATGTACCTTGGCAATGTCGTAAAGATGGAACCAACATTTCATTTGAGTAAACAACAGTTAAAGGCTAATACACTTCTACTGAAGTCTTCCACAAAGTCCACAAAAGACAATGGAGAAAACACTGCTGTCATTTTGAGCATGCTCATGGCAAAGTTTCTTTTAGGTTCACTGAAACATTTCTGGACTCTCCTTTTATTTAGAATGGGTATGAAACCATTACCTGTCAACTATGCTGGGCTGATGAAAACACAATCAACTGCAGACCCCAGCAGCACTGCACACATGAGTGAATCCCCAAATCTCATCCATTAAAAGAAATAAAAAGATATGTGCTTTTAATTTTTATGGACTTTTGTAGAAAACTAAATTCACGATGTTAGAAATGATTAATTGGGGCTGGAGAGATTGCTCAGCAGTTAAGAACATTGACTGTTCTTGCAGAAGACCTGGGTTCGAATCCCAGCACCTACATGGCAGCTAACAACTGTCCGTAACTCCAGTTTCAGGGAGATCGCGATCTGTCAGCCTCTTTTGACCTCTGTGGGTACTGCACAACACGGGTGCATTTACCTACATGCAGGCAACATGTGTGTACACATTAAATAACTAACTAAATAACTAACTAAATAAATAAAATTAGAAATGATTAAGGGAGCTTTAGGAAACATGCTTAAGGTTAGTATTATTTTCCTTTTTTCTCATTTTATAGTTTTTGACTTGACTCAACCAGGTATTTCATAGTATAAGCAAATGAATGAAAATTATGCTACTTGATAATTTATCATAGTTATCAATTTGTAAAAATAACTGTCTCTGTACTGGAGCAATGGCTCCATGGTTAAGAGCTCATACTGCTCTTGCTGAGGTCTTGAGTTCAGTTCCGAGCACCAACATGTGAGGCTCACAATCTGCTATAACTCCAGCTCCAAGGGACCTGACACCTCCTTCTGGCCTCTGTGGACTCTTGCACTCATATGTACAAATCTGTACACAGACACTCATAACTGAAAAAATAAAATACCTGGTGCTTTTAATCTTAGCACTTGGGAGGCAGAGGCAGAGGCAGACTCTCTGTGAGTCTGAAGTCAGCCTGCTTTACGTAGTGAGTTCCAGTTCAGCCAAAAAAAAAAAAAAAAAAAAAAAAAAAAAAAAAACAAAAAAGGAAAAAAAGCTGGGCATGATGTTGGGCACATAGCTTTAATCCCAGCACATAGGAGCTTGGGTGGTAGAGGCAAGCGGCTCTCTATGAGCTCAAGGCCAGTCTATATAGTGAGTTCCAGACCAGCTGGAGCCACAGGTAGATTATGCCTAAAAAAAAGTAAACAAATTTAAAAAAAAACAGTCTCTATAAAAAGACAAATATGAACTAGGCACGGTGGTACATATGATAACCCTAGCACTAGGCTGAGGCTGAGACCACGAGTTTGAGGCTAGCCTGTAATACCTAGCAAGACCTTGTCCAAAAGACAACCAAACAAAAGGGTATGTTTCATTGTGCTCTAAAACCCCTCTATGACAACTATGCTGTATTCAGTAGCTCTCTCTGTCTTTTCCTAGTGATTATTACCTGACTGCTCTCACCTCCCCATGGACCACTGTCTAACATGCTGCACACTTCTGAAGTAAACGACTGCTGTACATGCTTTCTTAGAGTTCCACTGCACAAATGCTTAAGTAGGTCACATAAAACATCCTGCAGTGACAGCCACATAGGTGAAACAGGCTTCACTGAGCAGCATGGCCAAGAGACGAGCCTGTCATGCAGATCACATATCTTGCTAATTGTTAGTATAGTCTGAAACCAATTAAACCAAAAGGCTGGACCGTAAGGACGATCCAGTCGCAGATTCGTGAGAAAGCCCATCCTAGCTTCCCATGGAGCAAAACCAGGCTGTCTTCACCTGCTCTCTACTCAACACAAAAGGAGAGGAACAATGCCTCCACCACATGCACCTACCACACAGACACTTGGGGTAACTCACCAATTTCATTTTGCAGAGAAAGATTCCGTGACAAATTCCTCAGCAGGGAGACTGCAGTCTTTTTCACATTGGGGTCACCAACATGCAGCATCTTTCGGGTATGCTGAAGGCCGTTTTCCTTCTGGACAATGGTTCGAGCTACTGACATCGGCATCTATTGTGAGACATATCCTGTAAGTGCTAGCCCATGTGGCCTCAAGAAGTACAGTCTCTTGGATGCCAGAGACTGAGGAAAGATGTGTTTTTAAAATTTTTGGATTTATTTTTATTTTGTGTGTTTTGCCTGCATACATGCAAGTGTACCATGTGCATACAATATCCAGAGGCCAGAAGAGGGCATCAGATCCCTTGGAACTGGAGTTCTGAACAGGTGTTAGCTGCCGTGTGGGTGCTGGGAACCCAACCTGGGTCCTCTGCAAGAGCAGCCAGTGCTGTTAACTGCTGAGTTATCTCTCCAGCCTCTGGGAAAGATGTCTTAAAAATTAGACCTGTAATGAAAATACTTTATGGGTGTTCTCTTTAAATTCTTTTAGGTTTTCATTATAAATGCTAAATGAAATTTTTTTCCAATATTCTTAAACAGAAGATGGTTAGCTGTTACTACCTCTGGATCTGTGTTTAAAAGTACGATAGATCTAGCTTTATTTTGTACTGCACTTTCTTTTAAAAAATTAATATATGTATGGTATATGCATGTGTGTATGTGTGGTATATTCATGTGTGTATATGTGAGTGTACACCAGTGCAGTACATGTGCCAGTGGAGGCCAGTGGAGGATGCAAGGCATCTTCTTCCTCTATCACGGTCCACTTTATCCTCTGAGGCAGGGTCTCAATGAACCTGAAGCTCACAGCTTCCGCTAGGCCACAGGGCCAGTGTGCACCCTGGATCCACATATCTCCATCTTCCCAATGCTAGGGTTATAGACATAGGGTGGCCACACTGGGTTTTTATGCGGGTGCTGGGGATTCAAGTGCAGGTCCTCATGCTTGTAAAGCAAGCACTCTTGCCCACTGAGCCATCTACCCAGCTGTGCTGTTAAAATCAAGGCTTGCGTAATACAAAATTACTTGGATACTGTCTTTTCTATCTTTTTGAACTATTATTATAATACAAGCTCATCTTTATGGGTTTGGTAGAATTTGGCCTCATGGCCAGTCATTCCTTCCACAGTGACAGAAAGCCTAATGAAGTGAGAGACACAAAGGAGCTATCTTTGATCATCACTTCAGTCTATTTACTGGCTGATCTTCCCTGTTTCTTCTTGTTCCAATTTCAACAAGGTTATTTATTTCCAAACTATAGGCTCAGTTCATTCTGAAAGAGGCATTAGGCTTTTGAAAAAGACAGTGTACTGCTAGTCAGATTATTATAATCTGTGTATTACAAACTACACATATAAACTGATGGCCCAGGTTCAGGCTCACGAGAGACAAATCAGAGTCAGGATCAGTCTGCCATCTTCTTTGAGGAGTCTGAATATTGACCTGCCCTTTCTGGCATCAAGAGATCTCGGTACCATGGCCTTAGCTTTTGTCTGTGACTTAATTATTAGACTTTTATTTGAAGGTAATGGTAATTTGGGCTACCATGACAAACATGTCTTTAATTCTTACCCATTCCCAGGGTATTTTCTTGTCTCATCTAAGCACTGCTGTCCCCTACCACTAGCTGTCTTCACTTTCTCCACTCTACCTTCTAGAATGAAGGTTCTAATATGGACCTTAGCATGGGCTGTGGTGAATTGGGATCCTTAAAACTGTTTTTGTGTTTGTAATTAACATTCCCAGGGAAATAGTCTATCACTTTCACTAGTTTCAAAATTTCCACAACTCAAGGAAGCTTAATTATTACTATTTAAAAATGTTTATTTTCTTATAATGACTATTTGTCTGTCACCAGTTTGCAGAACATTTTTGTTCTACTCTAAGAGAAATCCAGGGAGGGAGCTATTTGTTACAGACAATTCCTGGACTTTGAGTCAGGGAGGCTGGGCATTCCTCTTTCCAATATCCCAGTTAGACAAGTGTTTTCTCTGATGGCTATGGAGACTGACTGTCAGCCTTCTCTACCTCCTGTTCATGTAGCAGAGTTTCAAAAGTTGAGTCCCTAGACTCCCATCTTGCATCTCTTCCACATGCTAACCACTTATTCTCATGGTTATACAGATCCTTGCAGAGAAGCACTGTCCCTGGAAACATGAACATGACAATGCTGAGCTTTGAACATTTTTCTGTTCCTTCTCTTCGTCAGACCATGTTTCTCACCAGGCTTAAGACTCCAGTTTCTTTATCCTTTAATCCCTAAACTTTATCACATCATCAATTACCTTTCTTATCTCATCATGTCATCAATTGCCTTCCATATTAGCTTTCTTATTTTCTTATTTATGCCGAGTACCTGTGCTATCACATAAATATCACCTCTCCAATGCCCCTAACAACCTATTATCCTAGCTTGTTTTTCACCCATCTAACAACACTGTAATGTTGGGTTCATTTAGCTTTTTGTCTTTTCTGATAGCTGGCTACCAAATAATGGTGTATTTTCAGACTGACATTTTTCTAAGTCTAGAGCATCCAATCTCCCCTATGATCTCAAATGGTGTTAGACAACTTGTTGCTTTGTGTACACCAGTAGAGAATCCAAAGCTTTACTTCAAAATGATCCTTCCAAAATTCCACCTGATTATGTTCTATTCCATTTTAACCCTTTCATAATCCTTTGCTGCCTTTAGAGAGATGTTCAAACATCTTAGTGTGGCTCATGCAGTCCTTCATTACCTGGCTCCCCGATCCCTACTACTGATCCCCAATTGTCTACATTAAAAACTATTTTATACCATAGGTTCTCTTGTTAGATCAAGAGTTCCTTGGAAGGAAGGAGGGCCTCCTTTCTCCCTGTACACAAGTATGCTTCACAGGGAATGAGAGATGACAGCTTGCATTCTTAACCACATTGGCGGGACAAGTATCAGTTTTACCACTTCACAGTTTACTCAAAACAACAAGCTTCTGTGTAAATACACTTACGTTTGTCACATGAATAGTATACAATATTTCTGTTCCCTAGGAGAGTGTTTTTTACCTACGGGGATAAATAACTGATGATATATAATGAACTATTTTTGAGTAACGTGCCATTTTTGCCACTTTATGTTTTGACATTGATGCTATCAAGTCAGTCATTTGGAAAGAGAACAGCTCTGTTTTGTGGTTGAATTTCCAGGACACAAAAGCACAGGCGTTCTTTCTAATTCTGTACTACAGTGGACATCTGTGGTTTTTATGTACCCAGCATGTACTACTCCTTTTGGTATGAACATTCTGACTTTCTACTAGGGAACGCTCTATTACCAGGTAATACAAGTATCAGTGGTCCCTGCCAGTGTAAACCTATCCCCATGGCACATCACCCTGGCCTAGCCAGTCAACATCACAGCTTTCTACCCAGAGCCCTGCTGAGATCCAGATCAGGCCAGTGAAACACATTTGCTCCATCCTTAATTGCACTACTTGTCCTGAGGACACTGGGTTAGTAAAATGCAACCCTGTAACAATTACTACCTATCCTTGTCAGTGTGTGGCCTGAGTCTTTGAGAACTCAAAGTGCACAGGACAGAGACTAGTGATGGAGAGAGGCAGTCAAGTCTAATGACAGAAGAGACCCACTCCAAAGCGCTGTAGTTCCATGAGAAATCCTTCTCTCCCTCTGTTTTTTTCTTGACTAGCTTTGAGGCAGAATTCTGAGGCTTATAATGGAATGAGAGATAATACAAAATACAACACAAAGGCCTATGTTGTTCATGTGTAGTTAGATATGGCTTCATGGAAATGGAGGCTGAAGGTACTAGAAGGCTAAAATACTGGTGATTTCTGAGAACCGTTTGGCCAGAGTGAGGAAACCTTGCTCTTTCCTCATGTTTCATCTCTGTACCTAAGGTAGGTATGTCTAAAACGCCACTATTTTAAAAAGTAGAAAAGCTGGTAGGATACTTACTGGGCCACTTCCTGCTGTGAGATTCTGGAGTGCTCCTAAAGACGCTTCCTGTGTGTAGTTTCGGAGACTCTTGGCGATTAAGGACAAATACATCCTTATCACAATGGAGTGCCACAGCCACTCCACACCCCTGGGGCTGCTCTTTTCCTCTGGCATTGGGATGTCTTGATATTGCTAACCACACACACGAAGAAATCCGGAGTTAATGTACTTCAAATGATGTCTATACTTCTACACCCACAAAAGACCAGAAATGGTGTCTAGAGAGACTAGCAATTTGCAAAAGTCATCCTTGAAATAGAAATAAAAAGCAAGTATGTATATTTCTAATTACTTATCTTTTAGCTCATAATAATAATTTCTTTCTAAAAACTCCACACACTCTCCAACCTTATATTTCACAGTGTAAGAGAATTATAGGAGAATTAAACATAGAACCTTGCAAATAGTTTCTGGCTATGTTTAAGCTGAAGGGTAAAGAGTTACCATCTTTGAAGATAAGAAAAACAGGCCTGTTTCCTCAGCAGCTTGGCTAGGATAGGATCAAGGTTCTAAACGTATCACTTGTTTTCCAGGTTCATGAAGACCATGATACTAAGAGCACAGTAGTTCACATTCTTTTCTTTTTCATGTCAGTATAGATAGAGACATGTATCCTTCCTATGAAGTTTCCTTTCAACGTGTTCATAGTTTATTTGCACAAAGTCAAATATCAGGACTGCTTTTAATGTTTAAACAATGACTATGCTACTGCCTATATTGTGTTTTTATTTACTAAAATACAGGACACAGAGCAGCATGGTTTAAGAGCTAACAGTGCAAATCTGGAGTCAGATTAGTGGGGACTGAATTTTATCTCCTTCAGCCAGTTGTTAAATTATTCTGGGGAAACTAACTTTTCTTTACCTTTGTTTCCTTATTAGTAAAGACTCATAGGAGAACTGATATGAAAACTGAAATAATATGAAACCCTGCCTTACATGGAAGTGCTCAGAACCTCCCCCACAACTTCACTCCCCCTCCATCCACATCTGTACTCCACATTCTCTCAACCATCTCCCAACACACCTCTTTTACTTTCCTACTTCGACTGCCAAAACACCCAATACTTTTGTTACTGTCAGTCTGGATACTCCGGTTTTGCATGTAGATGCTCTGGGAATATCTCTCTGGGAGCTCTGCCTCCAGCTGGTAGGAGAGGTTATGAAGAATGCACACACAGTTCTCTGTGGCCTGAGGAAACAGGAAATGGACACTGGTCATACACATATAGATATTCATTTCAGATAAGGTATCATTCGGTTAAGCTTCAGCTCTCATAAGGCTTGCTGCATGGCATTTGGTGTGCTTGGACAAGAATGTACCCAGGATAAATGGAACTACTGAGGGTAGCTGGAAAGACTAAGAGCAGACCATGAATGCTCATGAGTTCAATGCTAAAATGTAGAATTCAAGTTCCTTAAAACAACAGGGGCCTTCTCTTGCTCTCTTCGTTTGTAATGCTGGAGACTAAATCGAGGGCTTCTTGTACGCCAGATACATGCTCTAACACTAAATGATAACTTTAGCCCTCCAGCTTACTTTAAAATACTATATCCAGGTCGAAATACAGAGAGTAAGTGTCTGTCAGATGCCCAGCCCTGACATATCTACAACATCACCTCTGCACCTAAAACTCAGGGAACATAGTGGAACCCAGAAAGCCACAACTAGCCAAAGTGCAGAGAAAGAGACCACAGAGTGCCTGATCCTGGGTAGGACACCTCTATTAAAACTCCCATCCAGGGCTCACAGACCATTGTGGAAGAGGGGTCAGAAAGACTACGAGAGCCAAGGCTGGTAGATGACCCCAAGGAAACAGTTTTCCAGGAGCCTGGGGAGTTGCTCTTATGAACTTACACTAAGGTGACAGCATGCACAAGGCCCATGCACGCTCACACCAGACAAAAACTCAGCATTGAAGTGGGGAAACGTGTACAAAGCCCCAACCTTAGCTGAGAAACTATTGACATCCACTGACTACCACAAGAGGGACAGTTCTTTAAGGGAGTGATGTTCGACAGGCTGACCAGACTCTAGTGGATGGACTCACACTGAGAGAATTATGGGGATACAAATTTGGCTTGATAGGCCTTAACATATATTATAGAATACATGAAACCCAATGGTGGTGGGGGGCTATGGGGAGGAAATCTAATATTGAGACGTAATGTATGAAATCTGCAAAAGTTCAATTAAAAAAAATAAAAACACAAAACCCAGTATATCCAGAAAAACTTCAAATTTTATCTGCATAACTGAGTACTCATATTGTTTGTTGTTACCAATCAGGAGGCTACTACAATAATCAGCACAAAGATGCACAAACTGAATCAGCAGTGGAATTAGAGATGTGACAAAGGCAGTATGTGCATGGTATGCTGCCTAGGGATACAGGATGTGAGGAAGCAAAGCAGGCCAAGATTCTTCAGATTTCAATCTTTTGGTGGATGGTGATCATCTACTATTTATCCATTCATTCATTCTGTATGTAGTGCTAGGGTTGGAACCCAGGGCCTTGACATGTGAAGCAAGTATTTATCATTGGGCTACACACTCCAGCCCTGGATAGCACCAGTTATTAGAAAGATTATAAAGAACAGGAGGAAATTTGGGGATCAGGCAAGAGATGAATTTATGTTTACTGAAAACTATGTATATGTGTTCCTGATGAATATCCATCAGGTTGTTAAAATTTGGGCCTGGAAAAAATTGTGGTCTAAGGCTAGAGAGAAAGTTTTAGATAGACCCACTGAAGGGTACCTCAACTGCCTCACCCTGAGTCCCTGTTCAGCATGGAAGAAGCCAGAGCGGTCTGCATCCCTATTCCCTTTTAACAATTTGGGTAACCTCTTCAGAGGGTGGTGTGATAAGAATAGGAAGTAAGAATTGACTAGGCAGTTAGGGTAAAAAGACCGCAAAGAAAAGTAGCCAGTTTCTTGGCTAAAAGTCACAATGTCCTTGGGCCTTTTAGCAACATCCTCTGTTCCAAAGGCTAAAAATGTCAAAAGTATTTGGGAGCTTTTATCTAATCCCTAAAAGATTTTAGGGATACCTCTTCAGAGGGGGTACTGGGGTAGCAAAAAGCCCCATAAAAAATTAAAAAAGAAAGAGTACATGAAGAAAAAAGTAATGGGAAGATATGGGAGGCATTGGAGGGGAGGGAGTGGGAGTGGATTTGATCAAAATACCTTATATGCATGTATGAAATTCTCAATACAGTTTTTTAAAGTTTGAAAAAAGAGAAGATTTTAAATGCCTAAGCATGTAATGAAAACCTTACGCTCAGCAAGTAAGTCAATGAACAAAACTAAACCCAAGCAACTATTATTTTAAGACTAATTTGAAGCCTCTTGGTGAGTCATAATGGGTAATGTGGTATGAGGGATGTTTAATTCTTGAGTCACCTTGTCATCTGGCTGGTAGTCTGCAATAGTACCCCTGACATAATGGACCAGGGAATCAATGAGTCCATCACATCTCCTCATCACCTTCCTCCCATCAGAGCCGGCTGAGCTCATGTTTCTGTCAGGAAAAACAAACAAAACACTGTAAGACATAGACTGTGCGTCCAACAGACCCATCTGAAGCTTCTTCTGGGTTTCTGGAAATTGTCCAAGGGGTAAAAGTGTCCTCACACCAATGAATCATTAACCGCCTAACATGTTATCAATATGAAGCCACTTATATTCACATCAATAAGTTTTTTGTCTGACTGATTCCAAGTATCAAAGCCAGAACATGATTTGTCAATTTTCACTGCATTTCTCAGAGGGCAGAATTGAGACAAATGTTTGCAACTAAAGGAAACACGGCATACTGGGCACAGCAACACCAGGCATCCAAGCCCCAATCTACTCCATGTCTTAAGTCTACATGATTTAAAGGTGCTGTGGGTCTCACCTTCCTCATTTGTAAAGATGGTGTGTTGGACTATGCTATTTTAGAGTCTTGACAGTTTCTATGGAAACTGTAATTGACAAATATTAAACCAGGTTCTCTAAAATATGACGATCCTCTCCCTAAAATGGCAGATGTCCAATGTATGTGATGTCAGAAGCATGAACCATAAGGATCTTTGTGCTTTGTCCTTCCAATTTTGTTAAGCCATGACCACAGTGGACGCTCCTTCATTTGAGAGAAATGAAGCTTATCAAACATAGCAAAAGAAGTATCTGGTGATCACACTGTACACTCAGGTCACGTTTTACATGTAGTATTATTGCTCCTATATTCTTTCTTACTAAGTTTTTCTTCTAATCATTAGTATTTTCATTTTTTTTTTCTGAAAAAAATGTTAGCACCTCTGAAAGCAAGAATAATAAAACAAACAAACAAACAAACAAACAAAGTCTTTAGGTTTGGGATTTTGAGACCCACCTTCTTTTCTCTTTGTCAACCTTAATTGATAAAATTACTGTATCAGACCATTTTCTTTTATTGGTAAGTAAAATGCCAAAAATACATTCAGAAGTTTTTTCTTTATAATATTCAAGGCAGTGTCACTGTGTACATCAAAGAGGACCAATACTTTGAGAACTTCTAGGACCTTATTTTCTTAATATTAAAGTATATAATTGAATTAAGTGATTTCAAAGTACTTTTCTGCCCCCAAATACTGCTTTCAAAGGAAGAAATGTATCCAGTCCAATATACATCAACAACTAAAGGGAATGGGGGGGGAGATGGGTAATACTGTCATTCCATGGAGACCCCATCTATAGACTGAGTTCTGTGAAATCAGTAATACTTGGCTATTCTTTTTATTTTTATTTTATGTGTATGAACGTACTGCCTGCATGTATGTAAGTGCACCCATGTCATGCAATGCCTGTGGAGGTCAGAAGAAGGCACTGGACTCCCCTGGAATTGGAGTTACATACAGTTGTTAGCCACCATGTGGGGTGCTGGGAACTGAGTCCAGGTCCTCTTCAAGAGCAGGCAGTGCTCTTAACCACTGACTCATCTCTCCAGCACTGTACTTGGCTATTATTAACACACTGAAATGGCAGTCCAGGAGATGGTGGAGGTAAGAAGATACCACTAAAACCTTGCTAACAATTTAGCAGTTGTTGAATTGATACAATAAAAAATTTGATCCTAACAAAATTTGTTGTGACTTTGGTTCTAACGCTTCATTTCCTTAACTTTTACTATATGTGAAAACTTTGATGTTATATCAAAAAAAAAAAGATAATGGGCTTATTAAGTGGAAACAAAATCACTTGACTATAACTTTTCCTTAAGAAATGATAACTTAAAGAGACACCCTTTACACTCCCTGAGCCCTCAGATCTGAGGAGTACATTCCCTTAGACTGCTAAAGAAACATACCAAGCATTTCCATCTTCAGTTATATTTTCCTGTTGGGTGTTTAAGACCATGCAGGTGGACAAAATTAACCATTTTTCTTTTTTACTGTCAAGGCCAGTTGAGGATCTGGACCTCAGGGTTGCCTGGGCTTGAGAGGAGACCTGTGTTCCTTAGTCTTTCCTTACCAGTTGTTCCACCTGTTGAGAATGAGTCAAAGGCCTTACTTGACTGTGGCTTTACTTTGGGAACACTGTGGACATTTTTCCTGTGTTGACTGTCCTTTTTGTGGAATGGACATCGGTTAGAGTTCACCCAGAAGGGTCATTAACAAGCTTCCCAGAAACTGAAAATGCATCCTTTTCAGCCTCCCAAATTTTCATATGAAAAAAGGAAGCCAAAGACCTTTGGTTACTTTTCCCAGTGACAGTGAACTACAGTAATGACAGGATCAGAGGACTACTTTTTAGCCTCTGCCCACAGTAGTCCAGAAGAAAACAAAGTTCATCTAACATTTATTATATCTGCCACTTGTTTAGCAACTACCATGTGTCCCCAGCTCAAGATAATGTTGTGTTTCAAAGCTTGCATTTGAATTTTCTGACCTCTTGATTAGAGACATGGCTGTTTAAGATTGCTTTGATAGGTCAAAAGGTCAGTCTTACACACTAGCTAAACTTACTGCATAGACTGCAGATGGGGACTTAGCTTTATTTAAATTTAGGGTGTTTATTTTGGTCAAAATGGTAACTCAGCATGACAGTGCTGCCAATGTCTTCTGTGCTAACTGTTACCTTGTATTATCCAGATGCTCCTCACTAATCGGGGGTTTCTGGCAGCTGACACCTTTGCTGACAGGAAGTGCATGGAGCCCTACTTCTGACTTGCCTCTGCATAGCAACAATATTTCCCATCTTACTCAGCTACCCAGAAATAAAATAAGGACAGATTATCTCATTCCACTTCACCTATTAATGGAAGTCATTAGACAAAGTAATTTGTTATTATACCACTCTGAAAAACACCAGTAATTTAAATAAAATGACACTCACTTTAAACATTTTTAAACAGCTAATATTAAAGTTTGTAGGAAACAGAATTAACATAGTCACACTGCACAGGTGCATCCTTTTATAATGCATCTCCTGAATCCTGAAAAATGCTTACTTATTATTGTTTCCCATATGTAACCCAACGGAGACTATAGATGGGCAATATTTCAAATGTGTAAGTGAATTATACCAAAATAATCACCTTATGACAAGTAGAACAAGCTTACAAACATAGTTTTCAATAAGCACAGATCACCAATGACCAACAGAATATTCTAGAAATGTTTCTTTCAGTGCTTGTCATCTGAATTTAATAAAATTATTGGCTTATTTCTCTTAGTATAATGTACCTTAAGTCTGAGTAACCATGTGAGTATCTTTAATGAAATAAAGACCATATACTATTATATAGTGAAGATTTAAAAACAGATCCTTTCCCTGGAGTTGAAGCCTTAGGGAGGGAATGAGGGTGAGATAGCGGTTCACATGAAGGCAGGACAGAGTTCTTTACCTCCACTGGGCCCAAATGGGGTATATGCAGCCAATGTTTGATACTAGGAAATTTTATTTCTTGTCAATATAATGGGGTCAGAGAATAAATTCTGACTTCTGTATGCCTCTGAAGTAGTCTCAGACTTTGCATTTTTAAAACTGTTTAGATAGCTTATCTGGAAGCAAACCTGTGCCTGTGGACATCTCCAAGATTATTTATTTATCTCACACATTCCTGAGTGTCATATGTAAACCAAAGAGAAAACTCTGGCCCATGCTAGAATTCAAAGGTTAATGATGGCATGACTGACTCTTTAGTTATGTAGTAAACAGAATGGGAATAGAATCCCAATGACACAGAAAAAAGCCCCATGAATCGACAAATGGGACTATACAAAATTAAAAAGCACAGGAAACCATCAACGGTAAACAACAATAAACAGCTTATAGAATGGGAGAAAATTCTTTTCAGCTATACCTAGGTTAATGTCTGAATATATAAAGAAATGGCAAAATTAAATACCAAAGAAACAAAACTGCCAGTCAATGAATGGGTCAATAGTCTGAACAGTTTTCAAAAGAAATGCAAATGGTCAATAACATCACTGGGGGATGTAGTTCAGTGGTAGAGCACTTGTCTAGGACACTTCCCTGTAGCAGTATCAAAACAAAACAACAATAATACCTCCCTCCAAAAAAGGTGGCCAATAAATATTTTAGAATTGTGATCAGAGAAATGCAGACTATAACTACTTTGAGATTACATTTCATCCCAGTGAGAAAATGGCCATCATCAAGAAAACAAATTCTGGAGAGGATGTGGGAAAAGAGGAACCCTATATACTGTTGACAGGAACATTAAGTAGTGCATTCACTGTGGAAATCAGTGTGGAGGCTTCTCAAAAGAGAACTGCCATATGACCTAGCTATACCACTCCTGGGCATCACAGAAAGGGCTCCACGTCCTACCAAAGAGGTACCAGCACATTCATGGTTATCACTGCTCTTTTCACTGCATGATAGTAAGAGAATGAAATCAGCCGAGATATCCATCAACAGATTAACTGATAGTGAAAACCTGGTACACATACATAGTGGAACTTTGTTTAGCAGTAAAGAAAAGTGAAATCTTCAGGAAAATGGTTGAAACTGGAAAGTATTATACTAAGTGAGGTAATCCAGGCTCATATATTGATCCTAGCCTCTAACTGTTAAATACACATATCTAGGTGGAAGTAAATATGGGTAAAGGTTAGGAAACTAGAAAGAGGACCACTTGATTCAAAAAAGACTTGAAGAGAGCGGGCTGGGAGAGAGGCAGGGAGACAAGGAGGTAGTGGGAAGGAGGGAGAAACAAATGAAAACGCCACACGGAAACCTATTACTTTATATGCTAATTTAGAACATAAAAGTAAAGAAGAATGGTCTACATCAAACTGACAAAAACAGCTATAATTTAGTGTGCATGCTAGACATTATAGTGGGTTATTCACAAATATCTTGACCTGTAATTTTCATAACAGTTCTGAAGTGAGGATAGCCTAGAATTTCACTCAGAATCATGAATTATGACGAGCATTTAAAGTTGTAATTAAGAGCTTTTAATAGTGTTTCAAAAGTCATTCCATATGGGGTGTCTGTGTGAAGCCACGTTATATGGTTATATGTTCC